ACGCATAGCACATACGTACGTAATTCTGAAAAATTGTTTTCATTTGACAAGTTCCTTTACAAATTAAGCTTACATGGTGTAAAGTTGTTGCAGAGAGTGTTCCAAAGAGGTGCATTATGCATCTCTTTTCTTCCGAATGCATCCTCACTTAATTATCTATGCAGGTGAACAAAATAGCCAAGTCTCCTGAAATTAGAAGCACTTTGTTGTCGAGGAAATTTCTCAAATTTAAGTTTCTAGTAAACAATAATAATTTTTAAATTTAATTTAAAAAAAAAACAAGTTTTTGATGTTGACCAAGGTGTACCACAGAGGCTAGTGTTGGGATCTTTCGTATTTATTTTATATGTCAATGATTTTTTAAATTTTGTAACTGCAGATAATGGAATTTTATATGCCGAAGACACAACTATTGCAGTTGATTGATATCATGCTCATATTTAATAGTTAATCCTATGTCATATTCCGTGTTATGTATATTTATAAGTTCATGTTAAAACTTAATTCTAAAATTTCCCTGTTCTTCATAATTATCCGAAAATGAAAGGAATTGGATAAGTATAAGTATTTAGCATTTCCACAACTTTTTGTGGGAACAATCCCGAGTTTGCAGGTTTTAAATTTTACAAATCTATGCCAACTATATATAAGAAAGAAACACTTAAATAGTAAACGACAGAGAACAGAAATAAAAAAGAAAATACGAACAAAAAAATTAAGAAAATAGAAGTTTTAATAGGTACTGAGTGGGAGAAAAATTTCTTTTTTATTGATATTAGAAAAGCATGTAATGCTTTACTTCTTAAAGTAAATTTATATGACAAGATTTAAATAGAGGCATTTATATCTACATATACATTTCTAACATCGTGCAGAAAAGCAATAAACTTATCTTCCACATTTCTTCGTAACACTTTCCACTCATAATCCAAATGGGACTGCGAAGTAGGTACTGACAGGAACACCTCTCATTTTCTTCAAAATCTACTTAACATTCGTCCTCTGTTGTACTTCCTTGCAAATCGAACTTCTTGACACACATTAATTGTTACTAACTCTTAATTGTTAACTCTCCTCGTTAATATTATAATATAAAATTTCACATAAAGTTAACTTGCAGTTATTTTTTCCATTTCCTCTTCTTGATGTACCTATTCGTTATGAATGTTGGCGATCATCATGGCAATCTTTATCTCATCTGCAGCAGCGCGGAAAAGCTGCACATATGTTGAACCAGATTCTGAGGTTCTTCAACCAAGATGTTCTTCTTCTTCCTGGACCTCACTTTCCAAATATTTTTCCTTGCAGGATGGCTCGAAGGAGAGCATATCTGGATTCATTTAGCGTAATATGTCCGAAAAACTGAGACTTTCGAGATTTGATGGTAATGGTGATTTGTGACTTGGTATGTCCACGGGATCTTAAGTATTCTCAGATACTTCCATACTTTTTCTATTTAAGTAGGTGAAATGAAAAAAACGGTTGCCATGCGTAACTGATCTTGTCTGGCATCCTCTCCTTGGGCAGCGGGAAACTTGTCTATATTCACCACCCCGATCTCGTTTCCACTTTTCTTCCATTTCTGTGTCTTCAAAATTGTGTAATAAAACGAAATGACAGTTTTATAAAACTCTTTTAGCGACATTTTGTTTGCAACTAAATCAATCTTCATTTTGGAGCTCATTTTATACCAAAATAGGTCATTAAAAGTTTTGATATTAGCACAATTTGATATTAGTAATTGACTAGTAATGAGTTTGTCATAATTTCCCTAATTTTTTTTTTGTACTCCTTATTGACCAGTAATGAGTTTGTAATACTTTCTCTAATTTGTGTTTGTACCTATTTGAGGAAGACGTAGACCGCATTCCGAATTAGCTAAACTGCCGTAGATCACATACATGGTGGACCGCATACCGAATCGGCACCTTAAATACAAATTTTGTACTTTTATTTCTGTGATAAGAAGGCATAACTTGATATGTTGACATTTTAACAAAATTGAGTTATCAACATCACTGTGTTCGTCTGAGCGAGATCTACAAAATGGTATAGCTTGATAATTCAAATTTCTAATAATACCGGAGATACAAGGCATGCCCACACCTGATATGTCATAAGTTGACATTACAGAAGAGGTAATAACTTGATAAGTTAACATAACAATGTACGCCTCTGACTATAAGGTTACAAAGAAAAAGTTGTAAGATGTCAACAATTGATATGTTGATTTATTTAATTCTTCCACTTTAAAAATCGGCTAATTTTTATGGTTCTCAAAGAAAGCATAACATGATATGTTGACATATCAAGTTGTACCATTCCTAAGAAAATCTTCTATGATAGTGATGCTGAATCTGTTATGTAAACACATCACGTATTGCCGTCTTATAAAGATGACTAAACTATTGAGATGCGACTAAGCAAGTTGTGTTATAATTATTAATATTTTATCAAGTTTGATTATTTTTCAATATTTACTTTTTTGGTGTGTTGCCGTTTCGGTACGATTGTACTAAAACGAATGTATCATTTTGACCATTTTAGTATTTTTAAATAAACGTGTTCAACCATCTATTAACAATTACCTAAGAAAGACCTAAAGTGCAGTAAATTATTAAATTAATATAGTGCATGTAATAGGTTGGCTATGACACATTTAGAAACTTTTTTAAAACAAAGGGCTATAAGTTCAAAGAGTCATTCATAGACACATGCAAAACTTGCGATGAATTTAATATATTTAAAAGACATGCTACTAGTAAAGCTGACCATAAAGTAATCGATGAAAACCATAATGTTCACGTTCTAGAGGTATAGGAGGGTTATGACCGTAAACGCGAAGACAAAAAGAATGCAAAAAACACTGATTACCAAAGAGTTTTGGTTTTTGACTTGCAACAAATTTTACCTGTGCCATATCTTACAACCAATATCGCTTATTACAAAAGGGTATTAACTATGTACAAACCATCCGTGATTGTTCACAAGAGAAAGAATCGTCAGACTGTTCTATGTGGAGTGAGCTTCAAGGAGGGAGAGGATCAGATCAGATTGCCTCTTGTATTTTAAAAAATTTGCTTCAGTTACCAACAAGTGTAGAACAAGTAATTACGTACCCAGATACGTGTGGCGACCAGAATAGAAACATTAATATGGCAGTTATGTTTATGTATGCTCTAGCCAAAAATGACCATCTTAAGGTTATTGATCAAAAGTTTCTCCTACCAGGGCATACTTGCCTTGAATGCGACAGTGATCATGCCCGCATTGAACGAGCAAAAAAAAAAGACTTGGTTCTTCAGAAACTTCGAATGCTAATGTAGATAAATTTAGAATTATGATTCCTCGTGATTGATGTCAGTTTGTAAGAGCTGTCCCTGGCAAAAAAAGGTTTAATGTGATTGAGATGGACTTGACCGATTTCAAAAGCTTTTCATGTCTTTTAGTTAAAAATAACGTTTTGGTATATCGTAATCAAGATACTGAAAAAAAGCCAGTCGAGTGGCTAGAGATAAAATGGTTGAGATACACTAAAGAATTTGGAATCATTCGTTTCAAATATGATCTGAATCAATTTTCTCCATTTCGAACCCTTAATCTATTTAGCAACAGAAAAGGCCGAAAAATCTGTGCAAAAAACATTGAAGTTTCGAACTCCTATGCCAGTACCCTTGGAGTAAATCCTTTAAAAAAGAAGGACCTCTTATCGTTGTTAACGTTAATAGATAAGGGAGTTCCATAATTTTTACAAAAAGCTGCCGACAACGCTAACAGCTCCAAAATTCGATGAGCTAAACAATACGCAAGACGACTCCAAGACTGAAGAACAAGTAAACTGCTAGTTCACTCTTTGTACAACTTTTTTTGTTTATTAAAGTTATATTCATTTCATGAGATGTTGAGTTCTTTCCCTAGTAGGTAAACATCAACCAAAAATTAAATTGTAAGTAGGTATTTGTACAAAAAAGCTAACTTTCTGTTTTTTAGTCGTATTATTGATTTTCCGATTACAAAAACATGGTCAAGTAGAAGATGGCAAAACTTGTTATGTTCAACAACCTTTAATAACTTTGATATTTAACAAAAATTCACTTACATACTTAACTCTTTCAATAATTGGTATTTAAGCTCTAGGAAAATTATTAGTTATAAATTGTCCGTTAATATTTAGATTTACTAGAGACATTTTATCTTAAAATAGCTCTCCTGTAAACTTAGCGAAACTCGATATATCAAAATATGGCTTCTTTTCACAGATTTATACTTATGTTAAAATGTTTAGGTTTAAGTAAATACCTACAATTTTTTGTAAAAATATTTTTTAATATCTATGTTTTTAATTTTTCAACTTTTTAAATTGCGGCTCACGAAAAATTTCAAATTTTGAAAATTGGCCTGGTCTATATATTATATTTAAAATATTTAACTAACCTTTTATTTTATCAACCAATTGGCTTGTCCTGTATCATGGTTCGATCATATCCGATGAGTAATTTTTTACTTATGTAAAAAATTACATACATTATAAGTATGTAATCCTTTCGATATCATCTTCACAAACTCTTTCCGTCTCACCTTAATCAAAATCATAGACGATGTCAAAATTCCCAGCTAAACTGTTTACTATTTCATTCATTAAATCCATCCTAGCGGTAGGCGGTGCTTCGTTCCGTCGCCCCGCCCCTTTCACTTAAAGCCACCCTAGATACGGTCGACAATCGCCTGCGTATCTCTCGCGATCGCGCCACCTATTCCATTTTATCCACTTCAGTCCGCGAGATTCGGCTTCAGACAGTACATCGTCGGGTGATAATGGGTCCACACGCCTGAAGGGCAACTCTTTCCGTAAAAAAGTGACTGAAACGCGGACATTCCTTTTCAAAGTGACATTCCCTAGGACTTAGTGACATTTCTTGAGTTCAGACTGTGACATTCCTCTCAATTGGACAAAGTTTAGTGATGTTTAAGAACTTGCTAGCTTGTAGATAATTTGGAAGATGACTTTGGAACTGAGCACTCATCCCACGATGCCGTTGGACTTCAGTAACGGGTCTAATAGGGATGATTCCGGGAGTCCCGAAGTAAACGTCTCCGATTCTCCCAATTCGAGCCCGCCGGGTAGTAGCGCCTTTACCATCGTGACACCCAAAGGGCGAGAAGGTAAGTACAGGTTTCTTTATGAATGTAAATGCTAATCCTCAAAAATTGAATAAGAAACAAAAGGCACAAATTATTCGCTACATTATACTCAATGTTTTATATATTTGTTTAGTAAGAATATGTTGGGGAATAGATTACAAGATTTATTAATATATAAATTTTTTATGCCTCTTTTTATAACATAAAGTACAAATGAGCAATTATTAAGGCTTTAAGCTAGAAGTACACGCCTTATTGGCGGGGAATATGAGCGACATGCATATTTAACACTAGCATCTTCAAATGCACTGTTAAATGAGAATTTAATTTCAACGGAATCAAATGAGATGGTTGCGCCATTTTTATTGCATGGGTTCATCCAATATTGCTTTTTGTCTAACAAAACTAACAATTCTATACTCTACGAAGATCTCAACAGACATATATTGCTAAATATATTTGCTCTTTAGTAATGTTTTCCCATGCTCCAGTTTACATTTTTATAATGGTTACACCAAAGTTATTATATTAATTACTATTTAACTGGGAATAAGCCACAATTAAAGATAAAAACACGTTTATTGACGTTTCAATTTTCACTTCGGAAATCGTTCTCAAAATACAAACAGTAAATTAAACAAATTTTGTTTTTTTTACATAGTGAATAATTCTTCTAATAATTTAATTTTATCTGACTCATTTATATAGACAATTCAGACATACATTATGCATTTTAAAGTAGACGACTTTAAAATGATATTGCCAATATTGTTGAGTTGCGTTCCTGGGACGACTTTACTTATAAGATAGTTCATTCGATTACATGAAATCAACTTTAACTTGAGAATATCCGTCAGAAAAAAATCATAGCATGTAATTTGTCTTTAAAAAGACAAACACATGACATGATGACAGTAAAATTCTCCTGTTAGTGATTCCATAGTAAATTATGAGGGAAAACCATGAAAAAAAAACCTCATTATACTATCCCGACATGGTAAGTATTTGTTCGTGCAGTTAGTTTACCTTCAATAAACACCAAAATTCTGATTTTATATGTTTCGTTATTTAAAAAACATAAATGATGTATCCTCTATATGTTACTATTTTCCCATATTCTCATTCTTCACTGCACTTATATCTTTATTCATAGTGAACATTTAACCGAACACGATTTGAAAACATGATAGAACGATTTTTTTTTGATTTTATCTGAGATTCAAGATTACCAATGTATTCAATACAAATGTGGTAGTAGTGGATCCAAAAAAGATCCTTGCGGAACATCACTTAACTCTGGTGTTTTCGGTGACACAGGTTTGTTAACTTTGTTAAAAAATTCTTGATTTGTTAAAAACAATTACATCAACCCAAAAATTTGTCCGTGAGTGCCAAAGTGTTCTTAAATATACAGAGTGGGCCAAAAGTCTGGAAACATCTAATTATCTGAAGGTCCAAATTAAACAAAAATCAGGATAATTACACCTATTTTGGAATATAAATTGAAGATTTGAAATTTGACAATGTTTGTAATGTTGCCAGACTTTTTGCCATTTTTTTATGACATCATTAGTCATTTTGGTTTTTTAAATACAACACTCTGTGTATTGTTTCCTTATTGAAATCTCCAATTCAATACCAGTTTAACATTATACAATACTTTCGAGTTTATGTAGCCAGGAACATATTAGAAAAACAAAACAAAAGCCTAGAAACGCTAGATCCTAATTGCCTCAATAAATATTTTTATTCAAACTACATACAAACAACTAATTTGTACATATTTAATATAATAATTAAGAGTTTACTACATTGCTAAATTAATGCCTACCTAATCAAGTGTTCAAAATGTCCTCCGTTGTTAATTTGACAGAAGAAAAAGAATTGTCTCCAAGTTTGTCCAGAAATTAATATGGATTCATCGATAATTCTTTGCTTTAACTCTGCAACACTTTTAGTTTCATAAATTCTATTTTTCAAGTATCCACAATAAAAATCATCTTCAGGATTCATATCGGGTGAACCAGGAGGCCATTCACTACTACCTAATCTAATAATCCGTCGTCCGGAAAATGTCTGATCTACATAACGCAGAAAATTTACACCAAAATGAGCTGGAGCTCCATCTTGCTGAAACTGTACGGAAGATTACTACGGTCGTAGTAATCTTCATCTAATTCTTTCAACAATTGAATTTTGTAGAAATATACGCAAGACTGAAGAATCACCTACATCATGTATTTATGCAGCTCTGCGTGAGTATGTATGTGGATCTTCAACGAAATACTGCATTTGAAAAGGGTATATTTCCAGTCTCTAAAAACAGCCATTATTATTCCTCTTTACAAGGGTAGTAAAAAATCGAATTTCTGCAACTATAAACCTATTGCCTTACTACCGTCCTATCCAAAATTATTGAGACACTTATAAAAGCCAGACTCATGTCCTTACTCGTTGAAAATTTTATCACAAAGTCGGTTCGGCTTTTTATCTAATAAATATACCAGTGATGCTATATTTTCTGTACTACATGAGGTCTGTCAACCACTAAACAATAATCTTTACATTGCAACTGTTTTCTGTGACTATGCCAAAGGTTTTGAAAGTGTAAATCACGACATTTTGATAAAAAACTAATTTTCTACGGAATTCCAGGTATTTCTTTAAATTGGTTACAATCTTACTTGAGGAATAGGAAACAACTAGTTAGAGTAAATGATACTCACCCTAGTCACAAAAGCATTGTATGTGGAGTACCACAAGGTTCATTACTAGGTCATCTAATTTTTCTTTTCCTTGTAAATGATATCACTAACTTAAAAATTAATGGACAAATTTTTCTTTCTGCTGATGATACCAGTACTACCTGGAGGAGCTCAATATTGCAACTCTTCATGCAATTATAACTTCTGATAAGACAGTAGTATTATCCTATAAAGGAGCTCTTCAACCCCTGCTTGTTAATAAAACCAGATTAGTATCGTTGATTCTGTAACTTGGTATTTTTATAGACAGCAACCTCAAAAAGTCCCTTACAAATAGAAACTAACCTCAGCCTGCTATGCAATAAGATCTGTTTCGAAGGAAATCAATTTGGCATCTTCCAAAATAATATATTTTTCTTTATTCAAAGACTCATCTTCGATATGGTCTTCCTTTTTGGGGTTCTAGTACAGCTGCCCAATCTCATGTTATTTTTCAATTACAAAAAAGAGCAATACGGTATCTTTTTGGCCTCAGTAGAATAAACACATTGCAGAAGCTACTTCAAAAATAACGGGATTCTAACTCTTCCCTCTTTATATATTTTAGAAACTGAGCTTAATTCGTAAACACCTACATGTTTTTGTAGCAAGACCTAATCATGACTACTCCACCAGAAATTCAACCTTTAATATGTATTTACCGATCCCGTCCATTGAGTTAGTAAAGAAATCTATATTCGGCAAAAAATCTATATCTAAAAACTAAATCTAAATCTATATAATATATATTCGGCAAAAAAATTATAAAACCATCCCTTTGCTACTTATATCTACAATTTCTTTCCTTAAGTTCCGTAAATTGACAAAAGCCTATAATCTGAAAGACCATACAATTCAGTTGAAGAGTTTCTTAACGAATAACTAAGAAATTACAGTACGTTTAGGTACATGCAACTAAATTTTTACTTGACTTTATCTAAGTGTTAAAGTGTCTGTTTCGCCATATAGTGTTTTTAAGACATCCTGCCAGTATATTTGCTTTTTGTACTTGATCTCTCACTTCTTTCTCCAGGTTTCCATAGCTAGACAGTGTATTTTACTTCCATTTTCCATTAGTTGTTCAATATTGGTGTCATCAATTTCTATTTTACATCTGGTTCGTTTAATCAATATAGATAGATCAATATTGCGTCGTCTGCATAGCAAGGTATTTTTATTTCTTTGTTTCCGATTTTGTATCCTCTTTTGTTTACGCTTTTGATGATTTCATCCATATTCAAATTGGAGAGCATGGGACCCTTGTCTTATTCCGCTGCCTATTTCTATTGGTTCTGTAAGTTGTCAATTAATTCTGACTTCCATTTTGTTGTTTTGGTAGATGTTTTCAATAGATTTTATAATATTTGGGGGAACTTCTCTATTATACAGAAGATGGATAACATCTTTGATTCTTTCTGTCAAACGCTTTCTTTAGGTCAATCAGACACAGAAATCCTGGTTAGAGCCAAAATAAATGTATACAAAAGAAAAAAATAGATAAAGAAATAATAAATAAGACTTACTTACAATCAATTTAATTTAACTATCCGGACGACCGGTTTCGCTTTCTACAATATACAAAGCATCTTCAGGTCTCGAAACAAAGTTAAATAAATGCTAAAATAATAATAAACCTATATTATATATATATATATATATATATATATTATATATATATATATATATATATATGGGTTTATTATCAAGTATATTAACCCATATATTATCAAGTATATAACTTTAATAATATATTTGACTTTGCAATAATTTACCATTTATGCCAATAGAACTTTATCAAAGAAATTTGATAATTACAAGTTGAAAGAATTGCACACCCACACAATTTGTAAATCTAATCTTATTCATTGTCATAAAACTGTCATCTTCATAAAACAAAATCTCAATAAATAACACACATTTCATAAATATATCTCTTGAATAAGTATAAATAACTTTTAAATAATTCAATGGTATAGAACATCACTTTCATCTAACAAACAATCACATTACACCTATCTCTACTTCATTGGATCAAATCTATCTCCTCAAGAACTTTCCGTTTATTGTCAAACAACTACAATAGCAGACTTAAGTTCTCCATTCAACAATACATGATAGTTTCAACCATGTTCTACCATCCATCAATTAATAGAGTACCGGCATGTAAGTAATGTTTTATTTATTTGCTCATTTATTAATTTATTACAATTTAATAGACTATTTTATAATAATTTGTGGGTCTTACCTTGTCTGTTAAAACTTTTTATACTTTTTTAT